GAGTAGCACGCTTCACTTTTGTTGGTATCACTCGTTTCATGCACGTTGTTAGGCAATCGCCGTACACCTCCATTTTATATTTTCAATAGAGAACAAGCGGTGTGTGGTTGGCAAAGAGCCCCATGGCCCAATCAAATACCCCCCCCCCCCCCCCCCCCCCCGATGTTTCCTGGCAGATTGCAGGACAGATTTGTTGAGACCCAATTGTGATCTCTGCCTGGGAGGCAGCTATGATACCAGCAATTTTGGAAACGTCTGGCACATATGAAGTCAAAATGAATCTGTCTGTCCATATGCCTATCCATCTGTCTGTTCATCCGTCTGTTCCGCTCTCTTCACAGTCTTCTACTCATTCATGTCCGGCGGTGGGGCAGGCACCAGGACCACCGGTGCAGGCGTGGGCACCGCTCTCGTCGATCACTTCGGCACCTTCCACTACACGCTGCTCATCGCCGGACTCACGAACAGCGTCCGCTCTGTCAAGGCCTTCACGCGCTGGTCCACCACCGGTCCGTCTGTGCCCGCGCCAGTGTCCGATTTCTTCGCCGACTTCGAAGGTGCTGGGGTAGGTTCCATTGCATATCTGTAAAAGACTCGGATTGGGAGCCAATGATTAAAGTGAAAAAAGAAGGACCAGATGTTTACAAGTTATCCATGTTGCCTGATGATTGCGAAAGCATGAAACTTAAAGTAGCAGCAAACAAGCCTTGATTGTCCTTGTTCTTCTGTATCACGCTCTGTCTCCGCCGTGGTGTTGAGCACTGTCAGCACACTGGGTACATACTCCAGTGTCCTACACAAACAAAATATAAGCATGATACCGGTGAGTCAGAACGTGCAACAATCAGCACAATACTGACTGATGTGATACCGGCATTCAACTGCTGTCGGTGTGCGCATTCTAGACGTGATGCAGCTAAACATCAAGTCGTTGTGCCCCTACTGAATTTTGCTAACGCACGTGACTACTGGAAACCATATGCATGCACATGTACATACATCAGCTATTTAGTTTTGGCTAAACTGGAACCCCCCTGTAGAGATGTCTGGATCTGGATATTTGTATTGTATTCTATTATTTTACTTGGGCATTCCCGGCAGGCCCTACGGCCGTCTGACCGGGTGCCCGAGGTGAATGTATGTATTGACTTCCTGGCAAAATGAATTAGGGATGTGATCAGTGCGAAGGGATTCAGGCAGCGCATTCAAGCGGTCAGCACCAAGGAATGGAATAGACTTGTGTCCAGTTTGGGTAAAGAAAGGAAATTATTGGCTCATTCATTCAATGACGTCTTGTTCTAACAATTCGCCATGGGGAGTGTCAGCTGAAACAAAATCCACATCCACTCCAACTGACGACACTGCAGCCACCAGAGTAATATATTTCTAGGCACTCACAGCGGCGCGATGATCTTCATGTCTCTTCTTTCTCCTGTTGCTAACCACACTGCGCAAGCTCAGGGTGAGTCCAGGTTGCTCTGTGAGTGAAAATGTAGCGATTACAATCATTGATCGTGTGACGGCAGCCACCGGCGTAGCGCATTTCTAGGCACTCACAGCGGCGTGATTATCTTCACTGTCTCTTCTTCCCCTTGTTGCTAACCATAATAGCAAGCTGAAGGCGAGTCCAGGCCGGACATTCCCTGGTTCCTTGGCGCTCTCAACAGCCAGTACGAAATCTCGGCCAGCACGGGACCGATGGGATTGATTCAGGACATCACCGGGCCTCTCTCTCCCAGCATCAGCGAAGGATTCGGATTCTGTGAGTGAAAACGTGAAAACCCGCTAATGTGCATGTACCACAAAACATTCGAGTACGCACGCACGCACACAGACACACACACGCACGCTTGCATGCACACACAAGTACACGTGCAGGCAGACACAGACACACACATGCTGGCATGCACATACACACACACACACATACAGTACCACTGCTAGGATCTATCTTCTCAACCACAACGGCCGGGGGGGGGTTCTTTGCCGACAAAGCATACCTTAGTGATAGAGCATCGCTGGCAATAATCGAGGGTCCCCGGTTCGAGTCCTTGTGCTGTTTTTTTTTCTTCTTCAGTATTTTTCCTATTGTCAACTCCCTCAACCTTATGAACAGCCAGTTGTATTCTCATTGTATCTCAATAACTGGGTGTGAGGTTAAGCATATCGTTTGTCAGCATGAGATCTGCATATAAGCCGATGACCAATGTATCAGCTAGCAATGTGGATATAGGCCATTGACCAGTATCAGCTAGCAATGTGGACATAGGCCGTTGACCAATGTATCAGGCTAGCGATGTGTATATAGATCTATGACCCAATGTATCAGCTAGCGATGTGTATATAGATCTATGACCAATGTATCAGCATGAGATGTGGATATAGATCTATGACCAATGTATCAGCTAGCGATGTGTATATAGATCTATGACCAATGTATCAGCTAGCGATGTGTATATAGATCTATGACCAATGTATCAGCTAGCGATGTGTATATAGATCTATGACCAATGTATCAGCTAGCGATGTGTATATAGATCTATGACCAATGTATCAGCATGAGATGTGTATATAGATCTATGACCAATGTATCAGCTAGCGATGTGTATATAGATCTATGACCAATGTATCAGCATGAGATGTGTATATAGATCTATGACCAATGTATCAGCTAGCGATGTGTATATAGATCTATGTACAGTCAAACATGTAACTAGCGACCACCCTTGGGGCCAGAGAAAGCGGTCTTTAGTGGCAGGTGGTCCTTAGCTAGAGGTTTGCACCGCGCAACCATAATGTGAATGTGAGACCGTCCGTGCCTGGCAAAGTGGTCTGTAGTACCACGCTGGTCGCTAGTCACGGTGGTCTTTAGTTACAGGTTTTACTGTAGTACCAGGCTGGTCGCTAGTCACGGTGGTCTTTAGTTACAGGTTTTTCTGTATCAGCATGCAATGCGGGGATATTGGCCAATGCCTCAAAATCAGCTGACCTTGCTTTGCTCTGGCACATTCCCGGCATGGACTTCTCAGATAACATTCCCCTTGGCAAAGGCGGCTGTCAGAAACAATTCTTGTATTAAAATGACAGAATTTATTTGCTCCTGGTATTGGCTCACCTTGGATTGTCATCTTTTTTCTTCCTTCCTTTCTTCCTGTCTTGCTTAGTCATTGATTAATTGATTCATTCTTTCTGTGTATGCATGTGTGCGTGTGCGCGTGTGCGTTTATGTGTGTCCACGTGCATGCTCGTGTGCGTGATTTTTCTGGCACCTCTGTGCGTCGTCGTCGTCGTTGTCCCTGCTTCCCGCAGATCACTTCGAGGGCGTAATGACACCCACGGGACCGTCGGAGTACATGGGCTTCTCGTTTGCATACCTATCCCCCGTCAGCGTCATTCTCTACACTATCGTTATCGGCGACAATGACGAGGTGCAGACCTTCCGCGTGATGGACAGTAACTCCAATGTCTACTTCCACGACAACTTCACCGCTACCAACAATTACGCAACTGTGAGTTGAGGATCGCTGTGCAATTGTCAGTATGTCTGTCCATTCGTCTGTCCGTCCGTCCATTCGTCTGTTTGTCTTTACGTTCGCATGTTTGCCCGTCCGCCGTCCATCTGTCTATCCATCCGTCCGTCTGTCTGTCCGTTTGTCCATCCATCCGCCTGTCCATCTGTCTGTCTGTCCATCTGTCTGTCTGTCCATCTGTCTGTCTGTCCATCTGTCTGTCTGTCCATCTGTCTGTCTGTCCATCTGTCTGTCTGTCCATCTGTCTGTCTGTCCATCTGTCTGTCTGTCCATCTGTCTGTGTGTCCATCTGTCTGTCTGTCCATCTGTCTGTCTGTCCATCTGTCTGTCTGTCCATCTGTCTGTCTGTCCATCTGTCTGTCTGTCCATCTGCCTCTCGGCTTGTTTCCTTCTAAGTCAGCCTCTCTGTCTACTAGTATCCGCCTATCCATTTTCCGACCGTCCATTTGCCTAACCGCCTGGTCTGTCAGAAGTGCAATGTTCATTGGAGTGAACAAGGGGTCCATGACTGGTATGCGACATGAGATGTGCTGGGGTATCAGGCATGATTGCCAACTCTCCACCAGAATTGCTGGACATGTCAACTCTCAGTGGCTTACCTACTTACCCATGCACTCATCATACACTCGTCGTACACTCACCATACACTCATCGTACACTCACTCACTCAGTTTCTCGCTCACTCACTCATTCACAGGGGCGTAGCTGGTCCGCCTTCTAGGGGGGTGCACGGCCGCATACAAAATATGTGTAGGATGGCGGTGCAGGTCATTCATGGTCATAACGCGCACGCTGAACCTAGGCCAAAACTTTTAGGGGGGGGGGGGGGGGGGGGGGGGTGCACGTGCCCCCGCCACCCCCACCCCCGCCGCCCCATGCGAGCTACGCGCTTGCATTTCCTCACTCTCTCTCTCTCTCTCTCTCTCTCTCTCTCTCTCTGCCTCTCTCTGTGTGTGTTTGGTTTGTCTGTGGCACAGGCAACTATCAATGACTGGAACAGCACAGTGAAGAATATGCTGACGATGGGAAAGCTGTGGATCCAGGCCCTGGATGGCAGTGGTTCAGTGCTACTGCAGAGGCCACTCCGCATGAGCAAGCGATGTGAGTGCCTACTGCACTGTGTGCTTAGCCACCACAGCACCATGCCCTGAAGCAGCAGGACCTCAACAGCACCATGCCCTGAAACATATATGGACATGTGGACCAAAACACAGAGGGTATTCCCCTTGGTCATGTGACAAATTACGGGGTTGTGATCGATTCTAGCCTGGAGTTTGTTGTATGATTCACCCATCGGCCCATAACAGTATGATGAAGTACATGTGTGTGTGTGTGTGTGTGTGTGTGTGTGTGTGTGTGTGTGTGTGTGTGTATGTCTGTGTGTGTGTGTGTGTGTGTGTGTGTGTGTGTGTGTGTGTGTGTGTGTATGTGTGTGTGTGTGTGTATGTGTGTGTATGTGTACAGCATTCTCCGCCGCCCTCACACCAGCAACGACGGGCACAGGCAGTGGCTACGCTCAGTTCTCTCTCGATAGAGACGGCAGTCTTGTCTACAAGGTATGCGATGAGTGCTGTGTGTGTGTGTGTGTGTGTGTGTACGTGTGTGTGTGTACGTGTGTGTGTACGTGTGTGTGTGTGTGTACGTGTGTGTGTGTGTTGTGCTGTGCTATACTGTATGCTGTGCTGCATGTTAGGCATGTTCAAGGCCTAATGCCTACCGACTAGTCTATCAGTCTGTCTTTCTTCTACAAGAGTAAAGTGAATAGACGATAATGTAAACAGAGGCAGAACTACAGTGAACCCTGTCTAAGACGACCGCTCAAGGGACCTTCAAACCATGGTCTCTGTTACCAGATGGTCTCCTTATCCAGGGTCCTTTGGCTGGAAATAGCATCCCTGCATCCTGGTTGTAATGGTCTTCTAAGGTAGGTGGTCGCCTTATCCGAGTGGTCGCCTTGACGGGTTTGACTGTAGTGATGGAAACTTCACGTTTTGAACCTACCAGTCGCATTTTGACAGGGCCAAAGCGTGATTTTTTCGTCATCAGTTCCGTCTCTGTGTACCAGCGTCTAGTCAATCTCCTCTTGCCGGTGCATAAAACCTCTTTGATCGGATTCAGTTGCCAGTTTGTCATCAGATGCTGCATCTGCACCTTGATCCGTAGAGGATGGTGGCGTTCCTACGGATGTGCAAAACTGGGCCTCCAGCTGGGTCTCACGTGAACCGTGACATTTTTTTGTCATCGTTCTGGTCGCCAACTAACTCCGTCTATTTGTCTATCCGCCTGTTGGTCCCCCCCCCCCCTCCCTCCCTTCGTTTCCGTTTGTCCAATCTCTTCTATCCCCTAGGTCTACATGACAGGTCTACTAGGCCTGACGACTCCGCCGACACTCCGACTTGATGCCGGGTCGACCAGCAGCCAGCTCTTCTCCCAGCTGAGTGGAGTGATCTTGCTGGAAGCCAGTCACGGAACGTATTATGTGAGTTTAACCACTGCTGCACTGCCATGTGAGACTTGATGCTGTCTTCTGAAGCCTTCTCTGTGAAATTAGAGCACCATAATTATGTGCCGCATTCAGCGAAAAGAACCTGAGAGCTTCGATGAAAAAGTTGAGGGAAATGTCCGGAAAAAAACGTCCTTGAATATTTGATCATGAGTGCTCACGACCAAAAGTTCAAGGGCGTCGTTTTTAACAGTTCCCTCAACATTTTATCAAAGCTCTAAGTTTCGGCCCATTTCATCTTTTCAATTTGGTTGAAAAATTTCAGATCACAAACTGCTATGGGCTTTGACCAGTATAGGTTAAAGTACAGAGTGTTTAGGGACAACGTTTAGCATTTTTAACGTCCCTGGCATCCCCTTTGTGAAGAACTGTGCTGTGCCAATTTTGAATCCCCGCCAACGCCAATATGTGATTGTGTGTTTGCATCTGTGTGTGTGTGTGTGTGTGCCTGTCTGTCTGTTTGTCCGTCTGTCCGTCCGTCCGTCCGTCTGTATGCGTGTTTACGTGTGTGTGTGTGTGTGTGTATGTGTGTGTGTGTGTGTGATTGCGTGTTTGTTTGCATTCTTGCCCACACGTTCCCTCTGTTCGCAGGCCGAAGGTCGTCTGCTGCTCTCCGACTACACCACCCACACTGATATCTATCAGTTTTATCAGCTTTACACGTCTGGCAAGTGCAGCGTGTACACCACCAGTGGACTGGCTCTGCAAGGTCCCCTGGAGGCAGTCAATGCTGACGATACGGGAGAGTCGAGTATGTTTGTGTTGCGAAAATCCGGTCGAGTATGATTTACGCATGCTGTTGTATTTGGGTTCTTGTCTCGTAGAGTCCAGTGTCTGATGTCACATATTGTCTAACTGATCACGTGGGTCTCCCCGGGAGAGGGGAGAGAGATTCAAAAGGAATCCTGGAAAGATGGCCGCACTGCCAATCGCTTTGGGGTCCGGATAACCCACGTATGAGTGTATTAAAACTCTATTGATGGTGTTCTATCCCCACTGCGTAGTTGACCTTGCCACACTGCTCACTGGTTCCCAAGTCACTCCCAACGCCATGACGACATCCGCCGGCGGTGCCGGCGTCTTTGAGGTGCAGCAAGACGGATCGCTCCATTTCCACGTGAGTCGTTTGTGTCACTCCTGTTGTATGCTGCTTGGAATTGTGTATTGTTTTTGTTGCAACTTCGGACGGAAGTTTGCCTATCCTTAGAATCAAAAAAGGTTTTTCCACCCTTAGAGTTGAACCTTTGGAAAGTTTGATTCAAACAGGCCAGGACGTCAAGTCTATGTGGGCGTGCATGCGTGCGCATGCATGTGTGTATATTTGTGTGTTTATGTGCACCGACTTGTGCGTTACTCATGTACGTACACACGCCCGCTATGCCTGCGTAAATTGCAGCTCTCCATCCGCAACCCAACGAGCCCCATCGTCAATGCTTACCTGGCCGGTCCTGCCCCACGTGGACAAACGGGGCCGAAAGTCCTCGACCTGATGTCCTACCTAAATGGATTTACGGTAAGGTGGGGGGGGGCATATCGGACCGGAAGATAGCATTGTTATGTCGCCTTGGCGACATTACGGCACTCTGCTAATCCCGAAGACCTAGTTCTGTCTTTTTGTTTAGCTTCATTTTACTTCTCCATAGGCACGGGCATGATAATGTGAATAGATATCATACACATTCCCCTGAGGGCTTTAGAAAACTGGATGAGATATCGAAGAAGTGTGCTGACACTCCTTTGAGGGTTTGTAAAACTCTGTACCGTACGTCAACAAACATTCATCGCATATTTATTTTCGGCTATTTTCGGCCTGGTCATGTTTGGCCGAAAATGTGTTGCGGCGGAAATTTTGTTTTGCAAGGTTCAGCGTGACAGTGTATACAGGCGACAGCAGTACAGACCGAAAAGTTGATTAGGCTGAAATGGGGTTTTAGCCCTGGGAGGCCGAAATTTGAATGGGCCGAAAATTTGTCGCTTTACAGTCACCGCTCTTTGACTGCTCTGACCGCCAAAGTGCCGGTTACAAGGACTTGGTTGCTGCCGTGTTAATCACCATTGTGTTCGACAAGGAAGGTAATCGTACGAAAAAGGCCTCGTCGAAACGATATGGTGTCTGTGCTTCGTGCGCTGATTTGTTTCCCTCCAGCCAAGACTCTATCAAAACTCTATGAGAACACAAAGCTCAGTTTTAAGTTGTGCTGACATTCCCGTTGTGTAACGCTGTGTTTGTCTTTCATCACCTGCTCAGATCCACGGTTTCTTCCTGAGCAAGAACGCCTCGTTCTTCCGCGAGCTCCTGGCCGGCCATTACTACATCGTCGTGGGAACGCAGACAAACCCGAACGGAGAGCTGCGCGGCCAAATCCTGGTGCAGCGGCAAAGTGAGAAAGCCAGCAATGCTGGAGAATTTAGTTGTTTCTGTACACTGTATTTATAGTGTTGATCAAAACAGGCATCAGACAATTAGCAATGGACCCACTTGGGGAGTAAACATTTGAAGGTTGATGTGGAAAAGTAGAGACAAGAAAAGTAAGGAAGAACGAAAGGAAGTGAAGGTTTGATAACCGCAATCCCTAAGACAAGCTGAATTGACATATTGATTGCAGTTATCAAATTACTGTCTCCTCGCCGTTTGTTTAAAGCAAAGGTTGTTTCTTACTGAATAGATTCCACTCCAGTGAGCGATGGAAACCCCTACGCAGCTGATAATGTATAATAGCCATAGCCCCATAATAGCCAGTCTGTGCACAGTACAGTGGAAGGAAACCGTGCGTTTCAGAAGGTGCTGGTGGAAATTACAGCCAATGCTAGGAACATTCCGAAAGGTGGGACGAAGTGGGTCAGGGATGCCTGGCAAGTGCTTTTCCCCTCTCTTTATGTTCGTTTCTCTGTGTGTGTGTGTGTGTGTGTGTGTGTGTGTGTGTGTGTGTGTGTGTGTGTGTGTGTGTGTGTGTGTGTGTGTGCGTGTACGTGTACGTGTGTATGTACGTGTGTGTGTGTGTCTGTATCTGTGTGTGTGTACGTGTGTGCAGCCTACACCGACATCCTGCAGCCCAGCGGGCCGATCACCAACATGGCCGGCACAGTGCGCTTTGAGCTGGACGACTTTGGTCTCATGCACGTGCAGGTCGTGTACCTTATGGGTAGTCAGCTGAGCGCTGCAGGCCAGAACCTCAGTAGTATCATCATGACCGATGCAGAGAACACCTTCTCCACCGATCTCAGCCGCTATATCGGTCACAGCAGCGTGGTGAGTGTTTGTGCTGGGGCGTTATTATTGCTTGTTTCTAGTGAGAACCAGACGCACACACACACACACACACACACACACACACACACACACACACACACACACACACACACACACACACACACACACACACACACATACACACACACCTCAGACCTGCCCATCGTAGAAGCGATGATAGCGAACAGCTATGTTAGACATAGCAACTTGTGCTGGGATTACACCATTCAACAGCTTGCAAAGCTGATGAATTGACCGCCACTAATTTTAGCCTGGTATCCCGCCACACAGCTGTTTGAAGTGACTTTTTCTGGCCAGTGAATCCCAATTTTTTCAATTTTTCATTTTTCCATACACACGCACATACACACACCTTGAACCTTGAAACTGCCACCTAAAGGTGATGCAGTGCCTCAAAGAGGCAAGGAGGGCAGAGTTACTTCTTGCATTTGTGTTGAGCCAGGTACTGGAGACGTGTGAACTTCCGAGAGCAGGTCGGGCATGGGATGGTGCGGCGCTCAGAGCCAGAGCTGCATGTTCTGCGGTTGGAGTTGCAGTTGTGCCGGCGGTGCCCAGCTTTGCTCCGGAAACAGCGGTCACAGGTGTGGCAGTGGTAATGACATTGGCTGCAATCAGGTGGGCGAGGTGCAACAATCTCTGGAACTGGAGCGTCACCAAGACTGGGAGAGCAGCTGTGCACAGCAAATCCACCTCGGCTAGCAAACCAACGATGGCACGTTTCGCACAACACAGCACCGGCCTGTTCATGGATCGGCTTCAGTCGCTCTTCCCTGCATTTGTGCCGCCGAAGTCCGCTTTCACTGGCGAAGAGTCGCTCACAGATCGCACAACACACTGACTTGGCTGTCGTTTCAAGGCGTAAGCGCCGTGCAACAATAGCATCCGAGATGGACTGGATCCACTCGCCACGTTCAGCTGCGAGGTCGTACCAACCGGTGTCACATACACACACACACACACACACACACACACACACGCACACACACACACATACATGTGTAGGAGTTGCATCATTTGATAGAAAGTATATTTTTCACAGTTGGGGGTGTTTCTTTTGTAGAGCTTGAGTGGATATAGATTTTTAGGTTATAGATTCTTAGGTTCGAACCCCAAGATGGGCAAGATGGGGGCAGAGAGGATTGTATTTCTCAGCTTGAGGGATTTGAAAAGAAGGGGAGAGACAGTGCAGAGAGATAGAAACTGAAAAGAAGGGCAGTTTTGAATGTGTACAAAACAAAATGGAAATGCCGTGAAACATGTAACCAAGGCAACCGCTCAAGGGACTTTCGAAACGTGGTCACTGTATCCAGGTGGTCTCCTTATCCAGGTGGTCTCCTTATCCAGGTGGTCTCCTTATCCAGGTGGTCTCCTTATCCAGGTGGTCTCCTTATCCAGGTGGTCTCCTTATCCAGGTGGTCTCCTTATCCAGGTGGTCTGCTTATCCAGGGTCATTTGACTGGACATATCATCCCTTGGTCCTGGTTTCAGTGGTATTCTAGGACAGCTGGTCGCCTTATCTAAGTGGTGGCCTTAAGAGATTTTACTGTACGTCTTTTTTTACACACTCAGCACATTAACATCTGTATCTTGCTAGCCTCGTTGACATGCCACACTAACGTAAGGAAACATCTTCTCTCACTCTCTCACTCTCTCTCTCTCTCTCTCTCTCTCTCTCTCTCTCTCTCTCTCTCTCTCTCTCTCTCTCTCTCTCTCTCTCTCTGTGTTTCTGCAGATTCGCGGCACGTTCCAGCCCACGGCTCAGCACATCTACGCGCTGTCCCATCGGCGCGTGCGCGTCAACCTGGCCTCTTGCTCCACATGCGCCGCCACACTGACCGGCACTCCCAGCCAATTCAAGAATCCTGTCGTGCGCAATGGACCACCTGGTAAGGGCAGAGGAGGAGGAGGAGGTGTTCTAGAAGACGAGTAACTGTCCATTCAAGCTCTGCAGGAGAAAGCATGTCGCTCAAGGCTAGCACCCACAGCGATGACGTTGGTTGACATTTTTGCATGACGAATTGGGGGAGAAATTTCACACCTAAGTTCACCGTGCACTGTACTGACTTCAAACCTGAGATAATTATAAGTTGCTAAGATTTAACATCTTGAAACCTGGCTGGTTTGGTAATTTTTTAAAGATGTTCACCGCTCTTTAAAGCTGGCCTGTTTTGCTTCCTCTGTGTGTGTGTGTGTGTGTGCGTGCGTGCGCATGTATTTGATGGTAACGTATGTAGTGATCTACCATTCATTGCTGAGCGGCGCATCAAGACCCACGGTACTCACCTCGGCTACTGGTGCCTGCGTGTTCGCACTGGACACCAATAACGACCTGCACTACTTTATCAAGGTAATATCTCAACACGTACATGCACAGGCAGGCACTGCTGTAGCCATGCTGCTGTCAATGGCGGGGGGGGGGGGGGGGGGTAGCCATGCTGTCAAGAGGGGGGGGGGGTAAGTTTAAAGCCATGCTGTCAAGGGGGGGGGGGGGGTAAGTTTAAAGCCATGCTGCCAAGGGTGGCGGCAGGGGTACGTTTACAATGATAAGCTTTAATATAGTGTGGTTTTTCGTCGGTCGCATGGCCATTTGAAAAAGCCATGTTGGTTCCAACTCCACTCAGCCCGTGCATCTATGGGTCACGTGATATCGGCCATGTTGATTCCACTGCCCACATGTCATGATCACTTTCTGCACAAATTTAGTCACATGACAAACTGATGTGAATATACACATGGCATGCCCCCTCCGTGATGTACGTTGGAAGATGTGTGCGGGTACTTTGTTGCGGCTAGGATACGGATATTTGTATTTATTTGTATTTATTTGTATTTATTGTTTAAAGGACTTCCCAAAGGCATAGCCTATATCAGAGGGGATCTCCTAACGTTAATATGCAGAACTGGGATGACGGAGCTTTACCCTGCTTTAAGTTGTGTGTGTGTGTGTGTGTGTGTGTGTGTGTGTGTGTGTGTGTGTGTGTGTGTGTGTGTGTGTGTGTGCGGCGCTCAGACGTACGCTCTCGACACGGCCGTCAGCTCCATCCTGATCCTGAACAGCACCAATCAAGCTCAGTTTGCCGTGCCGATCGCCAACTATGACATTGGATTTGGATACGTAAGCGTGTTGACCATAATGGGACACATATATACCACGAATAGTGCTGTTCCAGGCGCTTAGCCATGGTTGGCTATAAAAACCCTGCAATCGCCACGCAAAGTGGTCATTGGCTACCCCAGCCATGTATTGCTTGGAATAAAATAAATAAATAAATAAATAATAAATAATAGCCTATAGGGATAGTGACTGCGTTGTTCTCACACCACCTAGCTGTCGTGTGTTGCATTCTACACATCACTGCATGTGTCGTACTCACACCTTCATGATGTGGTACATTCACACTGCTGTCTGTTATAGTCTCTTGTCACAGTCAGACCTCGCTTATCCGGTCCTCTTTTAGCCGAATCCCTCGCCATCCGGAAGAAAATTGTTGGTCACCTATTTACAGCATACGTCATGCATACATACAGTATGTGTGTTCGATTATCCGGTTCCCTCGCCTATCCAGATATTTCTGTGGAAATCGGATGTGTGCGCTTAAGTGAGGCCTGCTTGTATTCCAGTTATCCGGCAGTACATTCTCGCCAGCTCACTACATAGCCCGCATGGGGCATCGGGGCTCGTGCACCCCCCCCCCCCCCCCCCCCCCCCCTAAAGATGTCAACATAGCTTCAGCATCATGCACGTTATGACCCTGATGGCATGCACCAGTCATCCTACACACAATGATAGTCCAGCTAGCGGCTGTGCGCCGCTCCAAGAGGTGGACCAGCTTCGCCCCTGTGTTCTATCATTGGATGTTGGATATGTAAGTGTGCTGAACATGTTCACAATCATGAGAAGCATGTATACAGTGAAAACTGCCTAAGACGACCGCTCAAGAGTCAAGGGACCTTCAAAACGTGGTCTTTGTAGCCAGGTGGCCTCCTTATCCAGGGTTATTTGACTGAGAATAGCATCCCTTGGTCCTGGTTGTAGCGGTCCTCTTGGACAGGTGGTCGCCTTATCCGAGTGGTTGCCTTGACAGGTTTTACTGTACTCGTGACTATTGCCGTTACTCTATCATTGAACAATATCCCTAGTTCGTTTGGATAGAATTTCGAAATTTTGAAAAATGCTACCACCCGCCAGGGCACTTGTGTGAGTGTGTGGTGGTGGGCGCAATTTGGGCTACCTGGTAAGGGAGAGTTGTGCTTCTGTCCCCAAAGCCCGTCTCGATAAGACGATTGCATGGACATGTTTGTATGTGGATTGGGCTTGGTTGTGGCTGCAGGTTGAGGGGACTTTCCCCAAGCTGTCCACTTACCAGCTGGACCAGCTCAACTCGGCAGAGTGGCTCGTCGTCGTGGTTACGACTGGATATCCGTTTGGAGAGCTAGTCGGATCGATTGTTCTCGACCAGCGCAGTAAGCCTATTTTTGATATGCTGTTGATTTTCGTGTGTATGCATGTGTGTGTATGTATGTGTGTGTGTGTGTGTGTGTGTGTGTGTGTGTGGGTGTTTGTGCATGCGTATGTGTGTGCGTGTGTGTGTGTGTGTGTGTGCGTTGGCGTGAATTGACTGTTTCCGCAGCCCAGTATGTTAAAAGATTTCCATGATAGCTATTATTGTCACCCATTCTTATTAAAAAAATGATTCATAAACTTTTCCCGCTTGCATCTTTCCCCTCAAACCAATGAAAACGTTTTTTATACATTTTTTTCATTTTGTGCAAATTTTCATTGCATGATTGTTTCATGGTATTATGCCGGCATCCATTGTTTTATTTATCGCACTGTCATATGCTCCTCTCCTTGACTCTGTTTTTTCTCAGCCGAGACGGCCACACTAACATCGGGTTCTTCAAGCCCAACGGGTGGAGCGGCGTGGGCAACGCTATCCTTTGACTACTCTGGCGGTGCCCGTGTCCAGTGGCAGATCCAAGGACTCTCCGGACCTCTAACCCAGGCGAACTTTGCCGACACGCAGACGACCCCGATCGGAGCATCGCTTCTGAACACCGTTGTTCAATCGCACGTGAGTTGTTGTTCTGATGTTGATGAATGTACAGTCAGACCTCGCTTATCCGGTCCTCTTTTATCCGGATCCCTCCGAGCCATCTGGAAGAAAATCGTTGGTTACCAATAATATTATTTATAGCATATGCCATGCATACATGCAGTATGTGTGTTCGATAATCCGGTCCCTCGCCTATCCGGGCATTTTTGTGAAAAACGGATGTGTGCGGTTAAGCGAGGCCTGACTGTATTGGGCTTTTGTGCTGGGTTCCGTGTCCTCTCAGTTGTGTATTGCGGGTGAATGTGTGTGCCGCGTGTCTCTGCCTTACCCATCGGATGGCTGACAGGATTGAATCCCCCTCTCCTCCACGCCACGCCACTCTATCTCTCTCCAATCTCTCTCGCACTCTCGGCAGCCGGCCAGATTCAACCCCAATGAAGAACGCGTTTAAATGTTTTGATGGATCGATGGGTGCTTCGCCCGAATCCTTACACTTGGAGCTTCAGTAATGAGTGATTTTTAATAGCATGTGGCTGTGTGCCTCTAACTTGAAAAATGTTTACTGGTATATATGTACGATGTGGATCATGCAAAATGTCGATCGTCAACTAATCTGTGTGTGCGTGTTTGTTTCCCTTTCCGTATTTGTGTGTGTGTGTGTGTGTGTTTGCGTGCATTTCACCTGTCCGGTCTGCGGAACACACAGTCTGTCATGGCGCTGTACGGCCAGTCCCCGAAGTGGTACCCACTGCTGGGGCGCTACAGCCTGCAGCTTCGTCTCGGCACACAGGCCAATCCTGGCGGAGAACTCAACGGCTTCATGAGGCCAAACGTCACACCACAAGACTGTAAGTTGGTAGTGGTGTATATCTGCTTTCACACCTGTGTGTGTGTATGTGTGTGTGTGTCTGTGTCTGTGTCTGTGTCTGTGTCTGTGTGTCTGTGTGTGTGTGTCTGTGTGTCTGGGCTTGTCTGTGTCTGTGTGCATGTGTGTTTGTCTGTGTGCATGTGTGTATGTGTCTGCATCTGTGTGTGTGTCTGTCTGAGCATCCATCTCCATGTCTGTGCCTATGTGCCATCATGTGTTTGTGTGTGTATGTGTGCGTGTGTTCATTTCACACCACGTCTGTTCTTGCAGTGCAATACCGTGCGCTTCTCTCCGGCTTCGGAGTGGGAACTGTGGACGGATCGGTGAAGGCCTCGGCAACATCGGCCGTCGGAAAGACGACGTTCTACTACGATGGTAATCCTTGGTTTCTCAACACCAGTCCTCCTCTTTCAATCCTACAGTCCATTCACCAAACCTGGGCCCATAGATTTTTCACAGTCTCACTTCCTTCTTTTTCAGGATCGTGGGAGTCGATGACTTCTATAGGTCATAAATATTATACCCGATATTTTAAGTCTGAGATAAAGTGCATCACTGGTTCAAGTCCTGGTGATGACTGTCAATCTTTTCTTCAGACTTTTCCCGTTTGCATCTTTCCCCCAAACCAGTGAATAAAGTGGATACGGTGAAAAAAATTATCAGAATATGTGCAGAAAGTATTTTTTCCAAACAAATACAATGTATTGTTAGTGTGTCGGCAAGGGCCCCGCCCCCGTTTGGCGAATGGACTGTAGTATTGTGTTGGGGTAGTTGTTGTATTCTCCCGTATGGCCGATCTCACGGCTGGCGAGCTGGACAGAGCCTGGATCTTGCAATCGAGAGGTTTTGTGTTTGCTTGCCATTGTGTATGAAAAGCCTCTGTTGAAAATTTCGCCTTTGGTCGAGAGATCGTCGAGTTGCACACTCTTACTCCCATTGGCAGAACCGTGCATAACCAGCCATACTCTTCGTACTGAGTGCGTTCCATTATGCCTGCTAATCGATTCATGAGTCCATTCATGAATCGATTCGCGCTATTCACATCACGCCATGTGGATAGGGTGAATGGATTTCGGATCGATTCCAGTGCTCAGGACGCGAAATCGAACGGCGAGATTCCATTCATGAATCGATTCAAGTGCGTAATCGAAGCCCGCGTACAGTGCAGGCCTTGTAATGTTCTGCAGGTTGTTCCCGGGGCCTGTAGGAGTATGAGTGTGTGTGTGTGGGGGGGGGGGGGGGGCATCTGAAATAAAGTTCCTTGCCTTTTGCCGGGGAAAGCAAAGCCAATGCACAATGTAATGGCCGCATACTCTTGACTTCTAAGTTGCTGAAGAAGGACGTCTTTGCTTTCACCAATTTCAAAAATGTACTTGCAGGAAATGGTATCCGTTACAACATGGCTCTCTGGGGCTTGTCAGGACCGCCCAAGAACATCAGCCTCTACGTCGGAGGTCCAGTGGGATATGCTTCCAAGATGGCTCCCGTCTTCGACTTCATGCCAACCTTCGACGGTGCAAATGTAAGTAGCGTGTTTGTTAGGGATTGTGTGTGGGGGGGGGGGATACGTGAGTGTGCATGTGTGTGTATGTGTGTGTGTGTGTGTGTGTGTACATGCACGCCTGCACGCTCGTATGTGCGTGCATGATAATGTTACATCATTACTTACAGAAGAAATTTCAATCCTGATAATGGTTTTTGCCAAAAAGCAAATCTTGGCTTGGTGTTTGTGTTTCAATTTTTCCTTGTGTGTGTGTGTGTTCACGTGCACTCGTATGTGTGTGTGTGTGTTCCTGTGCACACACATGAATATTCCTGTTCAGGCTAACGGCATCATTCCCAACGTTAGCCGTGACATGCTGGTCTCCATTGGCAACGGAACGGCATACGTCCTGGTCACTACCGACAAGTACCCGAGCGGCGAAATCCGAGGCAACGTCGAACTGGAGTTCAGAGGTGAGTAATGGCGTGCTAGCCGTATCACACGGATACACTTGTCTATGGCTAAACAGACACACTGTATAGTAATGTATACAGTTCATTAGTTGTTGTTGAAATTGTATTTTGTATCGCAGACCAAACGGGCAATTGTGCCCAATATTATGATGGCGATAAAGGAACGGCCGAGAGCCAAGGATACAACAAGCAAGCCTCCACCAAAGAGAGAAAAACACGGAAAACACAGTACAGCAAAGCCTGGTTTAAGCGACCACCCCACGGTGCAAGCAAAAGCGGTCGTTAAAGCCAGGTGGTCTTTAGAACCAGGTCCCACAGTGTCTGCGTAGAGCTGTCGGTGCATGGAAAGACGGTCGTTAAGAGCAGGTGGTCGCTAAACCCAGCGGTCGCTCACACCAGGTTTTACTGTACTTCGAGTACGAAGAAAAAGATTTGTATGACTGCAGTGTACTGTACGTCTACAAATATTCGGCGCATGTTTATTTTCGGCTATTTTCGGCCTGGTAATGTTTAGCCGAAAATTTGTTGCGGCCGAAATTTTGTTTTCCAAGGTTCAGTGTGACAGTGTATACAGGCGGCAGCAGTACAGGATGAAAATTTGATGCGGCCGAAATGGGTTATAACTTATAACCCTGGGAGGCCGAAATTTGAACGGGCAGAAAATTGGTAGACTTACAGTACTTGTGAAAGAGCAGGTCTGCTCCTCACCACTTGTATTTTTATGAAGCTGCCGAGCAAGCCTACAGCAATGTATGTATGGATTGCATGTAAACAATGGCGAGGAGACAATAATTTTATAACCGCGATCAATAAGACAAGCTGTGTCGACATTTGTGTACACTTTGTTCATGCAATGTAAAACGGTGGAGACAATGTGCAATAAAACCATGAAAATAGGAAGAAATAGTGTAGAGAAAATTTGGATCCAAACAAGTTTTCGTTATGTGAGGATTTTATTCAATTTTCTTTATTCTAATTCACAAGTACACACGGGCTACAAGCCCAATTGCATGGAAGCGAATGTGATAATGGAGTTTAAGAAAGGGGTGTAGGGGGGGGGGGGGGGGAGAAAGGGAAATCCTGTATACATCACAAGTTGTGCAGCAATAGGCTTTGTGTTTGAATATCAAAAAAGTATTCTTTCTAGACGAAGAGTGGTGTATATGATTAATAAAGATAGAAATATGCACGATACTTTTCCAGACGTTTCGTTGTTCTAAGCAACATCATCAGTGGATAAAGAATTTTTTGATACCACAATGAGAGTGGCTAATCAATGGCTTGTCCACCAACTCTTTGTGTTTGAACTTGGTGTCTTTTCCTCCATTGCTGTGTTGCAGAGGTTGGCGTTCTGGCAACTCAGGCCAGTCCGTCGCTGTCCGCCGTTCCGACAAGCGGATTTGTGGTCGGCTGCAGATGCTATCTGACTGTTGTGGGTAAGGAGACGTGTGTGTGTGTGTGTGTGTGTGTGTGTGTGTGTGTGTGTGTGTGTGTGTGTGTGTGTGTGTGTGTGTGTGTGTGTGTGTGTGTGTGTGTGCGTGTGCGTGCGTGCGTGCATGTGTGTGTGTGTGTGTGTGTGTGTGTGTGTGTGTGTGTGTGTGTGTGTGTGGAATCGATAGGTTGCGGGTTCGATTCCCGACGAATATGGTCACACACGTCTTTCTTCTCTTTCTCAGACTCTTCCTGACTTTTCTTTCATTCTCCTGGGTGGTTACCAACAGCCAGTGCATGCCAGAGTATGTGGTGTGATGTGTGTGCGGGGAAAAATAAATAAAAAAGACCAAAAAGTAGGGATTCACTGGCCAGAAAAAGCCACTTCATAGCTGTGTGGTGTAGACCAGGCTGAATAGTGGCGGTCTATTCTTCAGCCTTGCAAGCTGTTGAATGGTGCAATCCCAGCACAAGCTGCTATGGCTTCTGCTGTAGCATCGCTATCATCGCCTCCGGCGATGGGCATCCGATGGTCCAATGGTGTGTGTGTGTGTGTGTCACTGTGTGTGCATAATTATGTGTGAATCAAAAATTTATGTTACTGAGCTTGCATACCAACACTAATACTTTGTCTCACCATATAGCAGGTTTTAGCCTTGCCCGCTAACCTTCTTCTCTGCTACTCTCTTTCTCTGTAACATATACACCGGTGCGTGCATCGTCATGTGGATGCATGCATGTGCGAATGTGCACACACAAACACGCATGTACACACGCACGCACACACAAACACACACCCACACACACAAACACGTACACACACACAAACACAAACACGCACACACACACACACACACACACACACACACACACAAACACACACACACACGTACCCACACACACACAGGTCTGTACTGTGAAGTGCACAAGAACAACGAGACGGCCGTCATCACTAGCATTCATGTGTACGACGAGAGATCAGTATTCATCGCAGACCTCACCGATATCTATACATACTTTGTAAGTAGTTTTCGAACCCTTGCAGTTGCAGGGACATTCAGACAAGGCAAGTAGACCCAGTCAAGTACAATGTACCTTCTGACCCAGTCAAGTACTTTCCGACCCAGTCAAGTACTTTCTGACCCAGTCAAGTACTTTCTGACCCAGTCAAGTAACTTCTGACCCAGTCAAGTACCTTCTTACCCAGGCAAGTACCTTCTGACCCTGAAAGTGCCTTCGAATCTAAGACCCTGCCAAGTACCTTAAGACCCTGCCAAGTACCTTAAGGCCCTGCCAAGTACCTTATGACCCCGGCAAGTACCCTCAGACCGAGGCAAGTACATTCACGCCAAGGCAAAATACATTCAGACACAGGCAAGTGCCCTCAGAACCAGGCAAATACCCTCAGACCGAGGCAAATACTGTGCAGGCAGAAACTTTCGTCGGTCAATAATTTTGTCCAACTCCAAAGAAAGGGAGTTCGTCCGGTTGAAAATTTCGTCCATGGATCATAAGAGTGTTTTGTAAAGCTGGACAAATCGACATTTGTCCGGCATTTTATTTAATCGAAAAGCTCCTTGGACGAAAAAGACGAAATTAAATTCCAGACGAATATTTCTGCTTGTACAGTACCTCCATACCCTGACAGGTGTTTTCCCTTCCCTTTATTACCAGTACCTCTCCCTTCTTACCTCATACTCTTTAGGAGGGGGAAGTACCTGTATCAAGGAGAGGAGCAATCCCTGTGATAAGTACTAGGCATCCACTCACCTTTGGAGAATCCTCGAAAAAAACCGTCAATGTCAAAATACCCCGCAGGGCATTTTTTTCGGGTGAAGGGCGGAATTCATGACGCACAATGTCTCTCTTTCATGACGCACAATGTCTCTCTTTCTCTGCTGCCACTGTGTTTTTCGAATCTTTATTCTCACGATGGCCAGTGGCCAATAAGAGAAAATAGAGTGAGATTGACATCAAATGGATGGTTTGGAATGCTTGATTAACGGAAATGCATGATTAGCAGTGGACAGACTAGGTGTACGGGTGAGTGTGGCTCGTGCCCGAGCAGATTGAGTTTTGTAGCAGGGATGAGACATTTTGCCTAAACCGGAATTTTTGCTTTGTTACCGAGGAGTTTGCCTTTTATTCGACAACAAACTGGGTGTCGGAAACTGGGTGATGCGGCACGGGATGAAGAACCCGAAGAGAGCAAGCAAAGAAAGCAATGGTGACAAATCCAGTCCAGCAACCCATCACTCCATTTTAGTTCTTCCTGTTGCGGTTGCCCTTGTATTTATTCTGCACGTTCAAGAGGCTTTGGTACATGGGGAAAAAAGGTAAATAGGGAAAATAAAATAAAAATAACTAGGAGTTGCTTGCTTGCTGCTGGTGTTTTGTGCGGCACAGGGATCCTGGTTTTTCTTCCAGGCCAACATGGCGGATGTGGCCAACATGTACGCCGGCAAATATCACCTGGTCCTGGGAACCGCCAAGTATCCAGCTGGAGAGATCATCGGCAAGATTGTCGTCAGCCGTTTCCACTTCACCAACTACTACAGCAGTAAGTCACACAATAGGGAGCAGGCGCATGCGCCAGTGCCCTACAAGGGGGGGGGGGGTTCCGGGGGCCTCCCGCAGGAACATTTTAAAAAATGAAGCAAAATCCTGCATTTTGAGCGAAAAAAGGGGGTTCCGGACACCCAGGAACCCATACGGGGCACGCGCCTGGGGAGGGAACACACAATTCATAGAAAAGAAGAAGGGCCAAAGAGCTACAAGTTACTCTACACTATCCACTAACACCACCAGTTACTTTACACGCAGCTCATGCGATAACATTGGACGACACTGACCAACGGTACTGATTGTAAAGTAACGGGTGGTGTTAGTGGATATTATACATGTACTGTAGAACGGGTAATTTTAGCGACGTAAAAACCCTAGCGAATTTAGCGATCTACTCATTTTCGCTAAAGTTTCAAGTCGCTAATCCGTCGAGACATTAGTAGTGCACTGGTGATCCGTGAGTAAAATCGCTGCAAATCGCTAAAATAAAACGTCGCTAACCGGTTGACAATGGGAAAACGCTAAAATTAATAGTCGCTAAAATTACACAAGAGAGAGTTTGGAAGCTTTGTCACAACTCCGAGTCGCTAAAATTACCCGTTCTACAGTAACTTGTAGCTCTTTGATGTTTTTCTTCTTATAAATTAATCCTTCGCTCTCCACCCGAGTCTAATCATAAAACACAATTCCCCGAGAAAAATACCCAGTACCACCGGTTCAAATGTGCCTGCCTCCCGTTGTGTCTTGCGAGCACACCACTATTGCACACTACCTTTGAACACCACTATTGCACACTACCTTTGAACCGTTGCTATACTCCATAGTACCAGTCGGATGCTGTCTACCGCCTTCCCGAAGAAAACCTCTGTGTTTTGTTCTAACGTTATTCATTGGCTGAGTGTTCTTTGCGTTGTACCACACGCTGCAATCATATTCGGCTATTTTCTACAATAATTTATTGTTTCCATTCGCTTCCATGTAATGGAGCGACACCGCCCGTTTGGTTCTGCGAATTCAAATACCTACCCACCTACCTACCCACCCACCCACCTACCTACCCACCCACCTACCTGGACCATCTGTCTTCAAAAACATGCTTCCCTCTATGCTATGGTATGGTATCAAGCAACATACTTAGCCATAAGTATATGCAAGGGAGTTGGTGTTCATTTGATTTAAGCACTGCGAACTGTCCATCATCTTGTTTCCCACCAATGCACAGCTAACTACCATGCTCTGTTCCGTGGACCTTCAAGCCGTGGTGGCGGATTCCTCAAGATGAACCGCGCCACCTCGTTCAACTATGAGTATGAGGTAGGGTGGTGTTGCTACTCACTCAGTTGCTAGATCACCATGATGTCATTACTACATCAGTATGATGTCACTGTTAGATCAACATGATGTCATTGCTCCACCTTCATGATGTAAGCATATCATTGTCAACTATTTGGAAGTCATATACCCAGTTGGTGAGATTTGCACCCGACCTGAGCCGATGCCCCATGAATGGGGTGTTTACCCCCCCCCCCCCCCAGGGCATTTACCCCAATGGATAAAAGGACATTTGTGTTGTACAGCATGCTGATGGTTGTGTCTGTCTTCTGTTTTTGCCCAGGGCTATATTGATGGTACCATGCCAATGTCGTGCTCCCTTCTGCTCGGCGCTGCCGAAACGGTAGTGGCACAGCTCGGAGTCAACGGACCACAGGTGAGTGGGGAGAATTATTTTAGAATTCTCTTCTCTGGATTGCTGATGGCTGCACGCCTTCCAGCCTGCAGCAACAGCAAGCAATACACAAGCAGAACAATTGCAGGAACGATGAGAACAGCCATTGAAAGACCTGCCTCTGTATACAGTAGAGTCAGAGCTCACTTAACCGCACACGTCCGTTTTCCACTAAAATATCCGGGTAGGCGAGAGAGAACCGGATAATCGAACACACATACTGCATGTATGCATGGCATATGCTGTAAATCGGTAATCAACGATGTTATCATGTGACACGTGCTGTAATGTGATCCATGTTATGTCATGTGGCCCGTGTTATCATGTGACCCATGTTATCATGTGACCCGTGTTATCATGTGACCCGTGATGTAATGTGATCCATGTTATGTCATGTGACCCGTGTTATCATGTGACCCGTGATGTAATGTGATCCACGTTATCATGTGACCGCAGCTCAAAGGCACTGCACAGCTACCTGACAGCGTGTTCTCGTCAACCTTGAAAGTCTCTTGTCGAATGGCCGACTTCACGACGTGGGAGGGAACTGTCGTGCTGGTGGAAGAACGTAAGATCTTGTGGTATCTTGGATCACATTCGGAAATTTTCATTATCTTGCTGTACAGGACTGCTATTGTTTGTCGTGTCATTCAACTCTGCTCACAGCGAAATGTTCGGTACACAGGATTCTTGGAGTTTTGATTCCTACCATTGATTATGTGTATCTCTCACCTGTGTAACATGTAGAAAAATCATTCTCTCTCTCTCTCTCTCTCTCTCTCTCTCTCTCTCTCTCTCTCTCCGTCTGTCTGCTGTTTGTTGGCAGGTTTCCTTGGATTGCTGAATGGTGGAGGTGTTGTTGGCTCACCGCAAGTCACTGCCTCGGCCGGTATTGTTGCCATGCAGACGGACATCAATCGCAATCTCCACTACACTGGACGTACCTTCAATGTCAGGTGAGCACAGTGCTCACAATAATTTTTGTTTATATACCGATGTACATGTGCATACGTATTAGATAAACCTTGTTTTTGTTCAAACATGTTGTTGGTTGACAGCATGTAACAACCGTACACGGTGTCCTCCACCTTGTTACATGTTATCAACCGACAACATGTGCATACATCCTTGTGTGTACGATACTCACGCACTGAGCAATGCCACAAGCAAGACTTTTTCTGCCGTTTTTTTTCAGAGACTCGTGTTAGCACACTCATCGGAGCTGATGAGTGCATTCAGAAAGACTTGGTTGTGTCGTTGGCTGTGTGGGTGGTGTACCGCTGGGTCTGTCCACTGGACATAGAGAGCACTATACGCAGCATGAAGTGAAGATCTTATTAAACACCTGTGTCTGTGTGTCCATGTGTGTAGGTATGTGTGTTTAAAGGGGGCGTGTGGACATCCCCATGTTACCAACCGTTTCTGTAACGGTATTATTAATTAATTTTTATCTTTTCTCAAACGGTTGCCTTGCAGTGCGGCTAGCTTTGGCTCAATGCAGATGGCTTTCTCAGATGGACCGCAGTTCTTCACGGCTAATGCAACCGGGGTGAGTTGTGCAATTTAAACATAGCGAGCGTCAGAAGACTGCTCCTGGATCTTTGCTGGCTGTTCTAATTCTTATGGCCTTTTTTACTATTAACACATCCCTACTGGGAAACATGTGAGAATTATGGATGCGAGCTGCCAAAGATGAAAGACTTCCCCGGGTGAGGGGCAGGGTTTGGTGTATTCCAGCTGTCTCCGATCCATGTTAGCAACGCCATTGATCCGGTTTGGATTGGTATAATGAAGTGTAGACCTCTGTTGAAAGGACTCCAGTCTGTCACACGGTTTTCCAACTTACTGCTCTCAAACTTTGGCGCGGTTTGTCTGTGCAGACGCCGAGACCACCAAGGTCGGCTGAGCATCAGGGCCCCGCCACCACTTTCTGCATTCATTAGGGAGCATAGTGGACTTAGTAAAACAATCTGTGCTTTCTGTTCTGGGCCGACGCAGCCCGATAGCAACATCCCGATTAAAGGCTGGAATACTCTGTTCCGCGCTGCAATGTAGTTCTTTTCAGATTTCTTATGAAGTTTTCAATCACAAGCTGTGTGAAAGGTTGACACTCAAAATCGCATGTGGCAATGCAATTCGCCAACTTACTGCTCTCCAATTCTGTTCTGTCTGTTCTGGGCTGACGCAGTCCGACAGCAACATCCCGATCAGTACCGGAAAGCGTTTGAACGAGCTGTACGCTATGAACACCACCATTGACGTCCGACCACCCAGTGGCTCCGTGGGCTTTGCACCCATCCTGCTGGCCGGTCGCGTCATTCCCTTCGGCCCGTTCCAGGACACCCTGAACTACCTCAGAGGCAAGCCAGCCACAACTGGTGAGTCTTACTCCACGGCTCTGTTATCTCAGTAAAGTCAAGTTAGCCGGATTCGCGGCCGCATCACCTGAGTGAGAATATCATACGTGTATGTGAACAGAGAGGCGTGGGGGGGGGAGGGGGGGGGGTAAGAGTTGCACGGGAGAATGCAGAGCTGTGAGAGGTGGAAATGGGAACAAAACTGCAAACTGTGGACGAGTGAACAGGGACGTGTACACTGCACTAAGTGTATTTGTGTTTGTATTTATTCAACATTTCCTGGCTCGTCATACAACTGCCAGTAAAAAATGAATGTGAGATGAAGGGCGATGATCAACCACGGCCAACTATCCGAAACAGTACTTAATGTCCATGGTACTTCTTATCTGAACACAATTCAGTATTGAACAGGTCTTCGAGGTCTCCGGAACTGCAGTGTACTTTTAGCATATGCTTCCTTCTTGGTTCTTACAGGTCAATTGAACCTCGCCGTCACTCCGGGATATTTCCCGTCGGCCATCGCTTCCGACTACCAGGGACAGGGCGGTCTTGTGCAGCTCAGATATACACGAGTAAGAGATGTGTGGGCGAAAGTTGGGGTTCGGTGGGGGGGGGGGGGGTTGGGGGCCGAGTCTAGGGGAGGGGGTAGAAATGTTGATAGATATGCATGAGGATTTGGAATCCGGGGCATTCTTGGTAGGGGTTGGGTTGGGATGGGGGTGGGGGGGGGGGGGATTGAAATGTTGCAGCCCAGACATGAACCAGTTTGTGAAGTATGGTACGTTATGCATGTGGGTTGTGTTGATTTTTGATGGTCAGATCTGTGTCAGACTAGGCATGTACGGGCCTCAGTGCATACGGGAGAGACGTGTAGCGATCCAGGGTTATGAATATTGAATGCTTCAGCAGCACCAGCAGCAGCAGCAGCACCAGCAGCAACACCAGCAGCAGCAGCAGAGCTCTGCGGATTTGGATAGACTCTCTCCGTGTGTATTGTGCGTTCAACAAAATCTTCTCTTCCGTGCTGTTGCCTGCTCTTGGTTTGTCAACAGACCAACTGGCAACTCTCCGTCTCGCTGTACATTGGAGGACTGTCCAACGGCATGCAGCAGTGTGGATTCTGGTCATCTTCAGGCACACAGATCATCGACCTGATGCCCATCCTCGGAAAGGGAGTCTACAGCGGCTTTGTCAACGTAAGCTTATAAACAGTTTACACAGGCGTGCACGCACACACGTGCACATGCACACACATACACACACACACACACACACACACACACACATATACACACACACACACACACACACACTTTATTTCTTACTATCTCTCTATTTATCATACCCTCTCATGTACACTCGGTCCTGTTTCTGTGCTTGCATGTGCGCATGTTATATCTATGTGTGTGCATGAGCATGCGTCTAATCTCCGTGTCTGCTTTCTTGTATCTGTCGTCACCAGCGCCAAATCAATGTGTATCTAAACCGTCAGCAGCTGGACATGTTCAAGGACAACAATGTCGAATTCCGCACCTGTAAGTTTGTTGGGGGGGGGGGGGCAGGGCGGGAGAGGGGGGGGGGGGGTAGGGAGGTTGAGGATTGGGATTTGGTGGTCAGGTGTAATACCCGAGGCCAGGGTTGGATATGGTGGGATAAGATTTGGAATTGTTTTTATGCACCACTGTTCATAGATTATTGTATGATTGGTTAGAGTCTGGAATCATGAGACTGCAGGAACGGTTAGGGACTACAGTACTCCCGGGTACCGAAGAACGAACAGGCTAGGATTTCAGCAAGCACAACGTACCGAATGTATACAAGGTGACTCAGCCGTGCACAGACTGCAATACATGAAAATGCCAATGGCCTAGGATAGGAGGGCTGCCCCCCCCCCCAGTTCTTCAGCACCCTGCAGTACTGTTTGTGCAAACGGAGGGAGTCGGGTATTTGTTTGTTTAGCTTTATTTTACTTCACCAGAATCACAGACAAAATCTGCCATCTCACTGGACGTATTGCCACAGTTCTTCTAAAATTATGAAGATATGTCACAGTGGATCTTTGAGATCTCAGCTTGCACATCGAGCACTGGTGACACACAAACATGGCAAATACCGTAGTGTCTTGTATCAAAGCCTGTCTCATATAGAAGCCTGTCTTGAATAGAAGCCTGATTTTGAAGATACACTGTCGGCACATAAGCCTGGTTTTAGTGTTGACACACATAGAAATACCTGGTGTGAATAGAAGCCTGATGTGAATAGAAGCCCAGCCCTTACATCGGCTTCTACAGGAATAAGCCCGGCTTTAATACGCGACATTACGGAACCCGGTGGTTTGTGGTACATGTGGGGAACCCATCTCCTGCTGCTGCCGTTGGCTGCTGGCACACTCCTGATGGCCGCAGCTTCAATGTTTCTATGACAACCGGATGTCCTGGTCTTTGCCAAGTGTCACATGTGTTCGCTGTGTGTCTTTTCGGTTGCTAGATTCGGTCGCCTACAGCAAGTCTCTTGGCAAGATCGGTTCACTGGTCTACAACGAAATTGTCAACTCTGCCTACAGCACAGCACTGGCAGCCACTGGCAGTGTCAAGGAGGAAACGGTACGTGCCGTTCGTCGTTATCAAAATACAATCAGGTTTTTGAAATAGAATTAGTAAACTACGCCCTTTGTTTTTTTTTTTTTTTTTTTTTTTTTTTTTTTTTTTTTGTAGTCCCCTATGTTCTCTTGCTGTTGTTGTTGTTGTTCTCTTCCATGCTATGTAGGCATGTGCACTTTCATTATAATTATATGGTCCTTTCTCTTTTCATGGTCGATAGGATAATATAATTATGTACCGCTTTGTTTTTCCGTCTACGCCGCTGCAGCCCAACGCGTTTGTCGGTCTGATCCCGGACAACTACATCTTCCCGGCGCCGAGCACTCTCACGTACACGTTTGCCAGCGGCAACACGATCAACAACGTCGGCGTCTTCACCACGTTCCCCAACGGCACGCTGTACACGGGTTGGAACAGCAGCTATGTTCCCGACTACGAGGTTGCTCCGGTGATGAACGTTGTGTTGAACTTGTACATAGCCAGCAAGTTGTACATCCAGGTCTACATGACGGTATGTATGCTGTGACCTTTGTACAGAGCAGTAGTAGTACCAGGCTGAAATCCAACCCCTGTAGAAACAGACAGTATTATGTACATGTACTGTACTGCTTGGGTGAAATCCAACCCCTGTAGCCAGAGCACTGTAGTACCAGGGTGAAATCCAACCCCTGTAGAAGCAGTACAGTACATGTATATTGTACTGCTTGGGTGAAATCCAACCCCTGTAGAAACAGTACAGTACAGTACATGTATATGTACTGCGTGGGTGAAATCCAACCCCTGTAGCCAGAGCACTGTAGTAATAATAATAATATTCGCGGGTACCTTAGTGTAGTGCTTGGGTGAAATCCAACCCCTGTTGAAACAGTACAGCACAGTACATGAACATGTATTGCAAACAATCCCCGTATCTTGGTTTGGTCCCACCGCTTTAGGAGCTGCATCTGCGCCCGGATCCTTGGGGGTAATGGCGTTTCTATGGAGGCGAAAATCTGGGTCTCTAGCCGACTCTCAAAAGGTGGCAGTACCCCTTTAAATTACCTGTTGCGAGAGATACCAGAAGTCCAGTTTGGCAGGTCATAGCCCAGTGAAACTTTGGCAATGGTCTCATAATGCATCTGGCCATGCGCACAAGAAAATTTAGAGCTCTATGATGGTTAGAAATGGTAAAATCAGTTTCCAGAAAAAAGACGGGCATATCGCACATATCTACAAAACTCAAGCCCCAAGGGCAGGCAGAAAAATCTATAAAACAGGGGCAGTCATGCTTGTGCAGATGTACTATGGGTAGAGGCAGGTGCCAAACCTCAAATTTTAGTGAAAGAGAGAACACGAAGGAACACCCAGAACAGCCAAAAGTAGAATTAACGGAACGGCAAAAGTTCTTACAAATCTTCAAGCAAGCCAAGCCAAAAGATGGTCAGTTTCTTAGTACAGATGTGAGGTTCAGCACCTTGGAAATTGTGTGTAGATAGGAAAAATGCCCTACATTGTGGCAGTGTGATGCACCAATCTAGAGATATGATGGCTCACAGCAGCCGCTATACATGAAAATAGGCCTAAAATCAGCAAAAAAAGGGACTCTTCAAAACCCACCGGCAGCATATGTTTTGCCTTCCGTCTCCTTCGTGTGGTCCTTGAAGCCCTTCTTCACAGCTCTCCGGTGTTTCCTTGCTTTCTTCTCTTTGTCTGACATCTTCCTCTTTCTGTGGTACTCTTTGTCTTGGTCTAGCATAGCCAGATTCTTCTTCAAGTGTGCACCCACTGAACAGCCCATGCGACGCACAACATCAGCCAGGCTCCCATGTCCTTCATTGAAGAGCAACACTGCTAGGTACATAGCAGTTTCAACAGTCTGTGAGCCACAGAACATCTCTTTCGGGCATAAGTGCCAAATCATGGAGTTCAAGGCTTCATTCACATTCTGTGTGGCGCCACGGGTGCAGCGTTCCAGCAGCTGTAAGTCAGTCAGACGCATGTACAGTGGCTTCATTTCTTCAAACACAGCAAGTGGTATGGTATTGCTGGAAGAGACTGCACCTGTGCTTGCTTCACTGTGGCTGGACTGGGCTTTTTCTCGTTGATATCTGCACCATGACGTGCTGGCTTCTGGACAGAACTGATGTCGCTTTGTGAGGTCTGGGAATTCCACGCTGTGGCAAACTGATGCCCAGATAGCACGAGCCATACCTGATGTTGAGCCGGGATTGCTGCGGATGGCTGCGCCATAATAGTTCTGCAGAGAATCAATTTTGCTGCCAGTCAATCTTCCTTTTCCGCCAATGGGCTTCCCATCAGATAGTGGCTTTGACCCACACTTCTGCTTCAGAGTACGTAAGTTGTGGCCAACACGCTTTTGAACGTGGCCAACACACTCCTCCTTATCAATACTCGTGTCACCATATGGCTTCAGCTGACATACACTGCGGTAGGCCTTCGAATCTCCATCACCAATGTAGCTTGTGTACTTCAGGCCATTATTCTGTTCAGAGCGACTCCACAGCAGTTTGACAGCCTCTGCTTCCATAGCTGGTGATGACACGGAAGTATTGGCTTGACAGTCATCAGTGTGCGTCACTTTCCATCCATCAAAATCAGCCTGTGAAAGCTTGCCACTGGTAAGCCGGGCTTCTTTGGCAGTACAGCGAGTGCAGTGACGAGACAGCACCTCCACATCGATTACCTTCTGCACATCCCAACCAACTACCGACTGTACGCCATACAGGGATGAGTACCCTCTTCTCATCCAGGTGCCATCTGTACTGACAGCAATGTTGGCGGGTGACGTTTCTCCGCTGGCGGTGCGATTCGTCAGCACAGAACAAGCAGCACGCTTCATGCTCTGCTGGGCTGCAGCCTTGGCCGCATGGTGAAGCTTGTCGCTGTGACGTTGAAAATTTTTCTTCGTGACTGGTCCCGGCAGGTGTAGGAAAGCTGACAATTTTTTAAATCCTTCTCGTCCTCTGCCAAGCATCCGCATGCCCAGCACACTCATTCGGTTCAGATCAAAATGATGTGTGGCCTTCTCCACAGCGTGTGACGAGGTAGCATTGCCACAGTGATCGCAGGTCACTTCCACTGTTGATGCTAGGCCGGCACAAGCGCTCTCAGTCAACAATAGCTTTCCTTTCTTGCAAGAATTACAAGTGGCAGATGTGTGCAATAAATTCTGCAACTGAAACAAGCTGAAAATTCGATTGCCATGCTCCAAAGTGTCATCGATATCGCCCTCACTCTCAGATGACTCCTCTTCATCACTCGCCAACTCCCTTTCCTCCTCGCTCCATGGATTTGTAGAATCGTCACTGGAAACACTTGTACGCTCGTCACCATCAGCTGATGCGTTCTCTATCATATTCTCACCACTTGCAGGCTCAGTCTCGACAGCCTGGGATTGGTTTCCACGGAACTGCCGCTTTCTTGCTCGATGGTGAAGGGACTTCTTCCTTTTATTTCCCATAGGAGCACAGGTTTGGAAAGAGAAGAGACAACTCGTAGATCTACCCAGCTGCAGATCAGAGACAAACAGCAAAGGAGCTGCAATTTTTTTTGTTGAAAACTGCAGATGATCATGACGGCCGGCCGCGCGCTTGCTGTTCGCGCGATCAGGTACGCACTGCGCACTTACTGGGCCGTTCTCGCACGATGAACCAGGAAACTTGCAACAAACCGGTCCCGTGTACCTGGTGAAAACCAAGAGCAATGTGGGGGTGGGCGGCGCGGCGGCCACGATCGGATGATGATGGACGAACGAAAAAATTTCGATCATACCCAGTGCGTACCGTACGCATTGCGTACTCCAAAATTCAAATTTTCAATTCGAAATTTTCAATTCCTCAACCGTCATTAGGTTGATTGGCGAAAAAATTACATATTTGGAAAATTCAGCACTCCAGGAATCGAATGAGCCTATGAACACCTCCAAATTCGAATTTTCATTTTTTGGCCATTTTTCAGCTGGCCGAAAGGGGTACTGCCACCTTTCAAGTGAACCTTGACACTTTTTAAGTATGTTTTAGTCGCGCGCTGTCACTATGTACCGCGCCTTGCTTGCTTCCCTCCTTCTTTTATACTGTTGTTCTTTCCATGTCCACTTTATTCCTGATGATGGTCATAAAGACCGAAACGCTGTAACGATACCTCTAATGGATTTGTGTGAAATGCAGTGCTCTCTTGAGTGTAGGCAGGTTGCCTGCAAACGATTCAAGTATAATGAAGCTGCGTGAAGCGTCCTTCAAAATTTTGAAATGTTTTAGTCAATACGTTTTATATCTTTGTTGTGTTCAGGTGAACATTGAGGACATCAATGACCACTACCCAGTGTTCACCAAGGCACTGAATGTGACGGTCAACGAAGATGTCGGTACCGTGCCGGATACAGCAGCCATTACCACCGTGAGTGTGTACCCTGTAGTGGGGTGTTTGTCATGTGTTTGTGGTGTTCTCCCTGTATTTGAGGCACTTAGCCCCATGTTTGGGGTGTTTGTCCCGTGTTTGGGGTTTTGTCCGGTATTTGGGGTGATTGCCCTTTGGTGGGGTACTTAGCCCAAGATTTGAGTTGACTTCCTCTTTCAGAACGGGATTTATCTGACATCCGGTGACTTTTCCAGTACTAGTACGTCATCCATGAGTAAGCCGCACCGACTTTTTTGGTTGAATTACTTGTGTTTCAAGTACGGCTTATACTCCGTGTTGTAACTACCTTTTCTCCACCTGCTCCCAGTCCCATGCCATCTCCACACTTATACAAAGGGGCGACGATAACTACATTTGAAAGACTGTTTATTGCAAGACGACTACGGAAACACAACTAGACATGACGAACTCAAGACGAAGACATGACGAACTCAAGACGAAGACTGCTTTTTACACCACAGCAACACGGGCATGCACCAACATGACGTACACACTGCGTACACAAAATAACGTACTATATACGATATGGTAAGTCTATCGATATACGGTGCATACGGTATGATACGGTAGAAAGTCCGTCTACTACACTCCGGATAATACTGTACTCAACCTCTTGGGGCGATGCTCCTGGAACTGGGTTCACGCTTTAGCTTTTTTTTTTACTTCTTGGGCAATGCGTGTGATGAATAGCAGCGGCACATACTGTGGAGTGAGCATCGCACGCTGTTGAGGTTGTCATGGCGAGCATCACATGATCTGAGTGATTTTTGACCAGCCCATGATAATGCACAGGGACTTCTGAGAATCCTTCAAATTAAGTCTGAATGAATGAATAGTAACAATGCATGGGTATTTCTGGCGCACCAACGTCCACCACTGCAGTCCTAGTATCAAACACAACAGCCCGCACGAAGCTTGGTAAACAACTCAGCAAACCATTTCCAACGAACATCGGCGTCGTCCAGGGTGACCCAATGTCACCAATAATGTTTATAACTTACGCCGAAGGTTCCATGCGTAAGATCCGAGAGCAAGCTCTACCCGCGTCAGACCTACCAGCAACTTTCACACAATACGCAGACGACACCACTGCCCATCAGAACGAGCGATCATCTGTGGAAGAAACCGTCCGTGTGTGTGAACCCGTTTTCTCGGATGACAATCTGAAGCTTAACGTGGCAAAAACTCAATATTTCACTGTGACCAAGGAAGATGATTCCTGGAAATCGGTGAAGCTGCTGGGGAGTATGCTAGGCACAGCAGAAGACATAGCAGCCAGAGTGTCTGCTGCAAATCGGGCATTTGCAAGCATGCCATGAAAACGCCACAACCTGAATTCCAGGCTGTGTATGTTTTCCTGCCTGATATTGCCTGTCTTGCTGTACAATTGTGCCCTTTGGACCTTATCGCAAACATTAACCGACGTCGTCAATGTATGGCACCGGAAGAAACTACGTACCATCATTGGTATCACGTACCCACAACGAATCTCGAACACAGCGCTGTATGCCAGAACCGAGCAGACCCCACTATCCCAAGTCTGCAGGCAACGGAGACTGCTGTGGTTCGGCCATGTAGTGAGGGAAGGCGAAGAATCGTCCTCTTTCCAAGCCCTCCTAATGGCAATCAACACAACAGACATACGACGACCCCGAGGACGACCACGTCTGAGATGGATCGACGTTGTCAAGAAAGACTTACAATGCATCAATCTGTCGCTTCTGGATGCTGTGCAATCTGCTTCTGATAGAGCTGCTTGGCTCGAAATTGTTAACAGATGCGTTGACCTCATGCAATGAGTGATATGCGAACTGTCATTATTATTATTATTATTATTATTATGGGTATTTCTAATGCCTCGTAGCAGCATTTCAGCATTTGAAAATTCAAAGTAGAGAAAAAACAAGATACGACTCTCAATTTGTTATCCCCTGTGCAGATTGAGGTTGCTGACAGGGACAGTCCCATATATGGACTGCCACTGGTCAGCCTTCTGAACGCCACCAACATGGCCGGTGAGGACCGAACTAGCTACTTCACCATCAGACAGGTTAGTTGATGATACACACACACACACACACACACACACACACGCACGCACGCACAAACACACACACGCACAAAAAATGTATGTTGCATGCATACACACTCACGCAAACACGCTAGCATACACACACAAGCACACATGTGCGCGCTAGCGCACGCTAGCATGCACGCTAGCACGTGTGCGCGTGCCCCCCCCCCCCCCCCCTCCCCAACCCCTCCACCCAACACGTACACGTACACATACACACAAACACCTCATTATAGCCACAACAAACCACTTATCGTTTACAACCACTACTTAACGTATGTTCCGGTGTGTTAGCCGCACCGAGGTCCAAGCCGCACGTACCCCCCCCCCCCCCCTTTTCGGGCTCGAAATTCGTATCCTTGTTGACATTGGGAGTATAAGCTGCACGTCAGATTTTGAGTTTATAGCACTTTTCTCTCTCCCCCCCCCCCTCCTCTCTCTCTCTCTCTCTTTCCTCTCCGAACTACAGCCCCTGGCAGGAGGACCTGCTGGTATCTACCGTGCCAAGGTACTCGACTACGATCTCCCAGGCAACCAGTGGTTCAAGCTGGACCTGATGGCCATCGACGGAACACCGCAGACCAAGGATCGCAAGTCAACCACCACGGTAAGAATGGACCCTGGATTACTGTCACTGCACCTCCGC